TTCCTATTGGCGAGAAAAGGCATCGGCGACAGTATTGAAGCGTCCCGGTTTATATTCAACCCAGAAATTAAAGCCCATTAATTTACTTAGTCAATGTTGCTGCGGAGACGTAGTAAGTCGTTGATCCAGTAAATGTTTCAAGCTGGAATGATCTGTCCGGATTAGAAATTCAGCGCCCCATAAATAGGGTCGCCAATGGGTGACTGCCTTGGCTAACCCTATCAATTCTCGTTCATAAGCTGCTAGCTTAACATGTCGGGAAGCAATCTTGCGGCTAAAATAAGCGATGGGATGGCCTTCCTGTTGCAAAACTGCCCCAAACCCAGATCCGGAGGCATCACATTCGACAACAAATTCTTTCTCAAAATTAGGTAACTGGAGAACTGGGGCCGATGAAAGGCACCGTTTGAGATCCCCGAAAGCTTGTTCTGCTACGTCGTTCCAGGAAAAAGCATTCTCTTTAGCAATTGTGTGAGTGGTCCAACAATCTCTCCGTAATGATGAATAAACTTGCGGTAATACCCAACGAGTCCCAAAAACCCGCGTAAGGCTGTGACTGATCGGGGTGTTGGCCATTCTGTGATGGCTTGGATTTTGGCCGGATCCGTCTCAACGCCCTTGCTATGGATAATATGACTGAGATATTGTACTTGCGACGCGCCAAAACTGCATTTGGATTTTTTTAACGAAAGGCCATGAGTGCGCAATGTTTCCAATACAAGCTGGACATGATAAACGTGCTCGACCCAAGACTTGCTATAAATGAGTATGTCATCGAAGAAGACGAGGACAAATTTGCGAAGGTAGGGTGCAAAGATGTCATTCATTAAGCTTTGAAACGTGGACGGTGCGTTGGTGAGTCCAAACGGCATGATTAAGAATTCAAAGTGGCCATGATGCGTCCAAAAAGCTGTCTTTGCGATATCGTCTTCTGCCATGCGGATCTGATGGTAGCCTGAGCGCAAGTCCAGTTTTGTAAAGAATTGGGAGCCATGCAGTTCGTCCAGCAACTCGTCGATGACCGGAATTGGAAACTTGTCCCTAATAGTCTTGGAATTGAGTTCTCTGTAGTCAACACAAAACTGCCATGTGCCCTCAGTTTTTTTAACAAGAAAGACGGGTGATGAAAAGGACGATCGATTGGGCTGGATGATACCCTGTTGGAGCATCTCAGAACATTGCCGTTCAATCTCGTCTTTTTGGAAGTAGGGGTAACGGTAAGGACGAACAACCACCGGGCTCTTACCTGAAAACGACGTGATCTTATGATCACACGCACGTTTTGGGGGCAGTCCGGATGGCAAACAGAAGAGATCTTCAAATTGAGCAAGAAGGCTTTCCAAGTTGGGAGATGGCGTGGTAATCATGTGGGCCTGAAGTGTAGGTGTGCTAGCATGGCCGTGCCATTCCACGGGCGTGTTCTGCCAGCTGAAGTGCCTGAAAAGGCGTGAAAAATCCCATTCAATTGCCCCAATATTGCGAAGCCACTGAACACCCAATATCATGTCAAATCCGGCCAACGGAAGCACATAAAAGTCAGCTGTAAATGTTCTTCCATCCACTAAAAAAATCAAGGTGAGGACATGTGCCCAAAATAGGTATCCGGTCTCCATTAGCTACCAGAACATGAAGACGTGGTTTCTGGTGCATTGAAGGTTTACTTTACGGAACTAGGCGTTGATGAATAAAACTATGGGTACTGCTGGAGTCCACCAGAACTGTGATGGGTGTGGTATTAAGGGTGGCGGCCAACTGCATGGTAGAAGTGGAGCCGATTCCAGTCATAGTATGAAGAGATAGGGCCGGCTCAAATTGTTCTTCAGACTGGTCATCTTCTATAATGTCGATAAAGAATAATTTCTTGCATTGATGGCCGCAAACCCATGGATCGTCACAGTTATAACAAAGGCCCCTTTCGCGGCGAACCGCTGCTTCAGCCCGAGAAATTCTTTTGAAGTTTGGAATGGAGGTACGCCGGGGTAAATTTGACTCCGCAGGAGTAAGTACTGATTCGGAACGGGCACTTGATTGTGGTCGTAGCGGCAGGCTAGGCAAAGAAGAACCTACACTGTATTTGCGCTCCACGGTTCTGGCCAGCATCATTGCAGAATCCAGATCAAGAGGATCCTGGTATTCGACCTCCATGCGTACAACCTCACGAAGCCCAGCGGTGAATATTTTGACTTGCATTCGGACAGAAATTCCCACAGTTCGAGCCAACATTTGTTGGAATGTTTCGATATAAATTTCCAAGTCACCAGTCTGTCGTAGCGTTGCCAGATCACCTTCTGGGTTTGAGCTACTTGGTGGGCCAAAGCGCTTTGTGCACCTACTGTAGAAATCGGTCCAAGAAATTGGTGAAGTATTGGTATCCAATTGATTAGCCCCTAACTGTGCAGTACCGGTCATATGGAAGGTCGCCAGACTAACGCGACCCTGTGCTGGCGTTCGTTGCTGAATAAAAAAACTCTCGCACCTCTTTCTCCATGACAGAGGATCGCTTTTCCCATCGAACTGTGGAAACTCTAGCTTCGAAAACCTGGGAACTAAGGATTTGTCGTGGTCATGGCGTGCATAGTCGACGTTCCTTCTGCGGTTGAACTGGGGTGAACTGGAAGCAGTTTCCCCGTTTGCTTTTTGCACCGCTGCGGATAGAGTCTCCGTCGCCGCCGGAAGGGTGGCTAATTGCGCCATAGCTGTCTGCAAATCCGCTAATTGTTGTTCCAGAGCGAGTTGTCGTTGGTCCACGCTTTCAATCATGGTTTTCAATGATTCCGCAGATGTAGACTCGGTCCCCATCGTCCCAGAGGCTGATACCAAATTGTTAAGTGCCTTAGTTAATGACCTCGTCCAAGGTCGTGAACGAGAAGTGCCACTGGTAAACGATGAATCATTTGAAGCTATTTTAATTGACTGGAAGAGATGAATGAAACTGAGGCTTAAGCGATAATTAATTTTCCCCGACCTAGTCAAGAAAACTCATAATTAACCAAAAGCTGTCTATTAAAATTACTGGGATTCCCTTAAATAGAATTTAAGGGTTTCCTAAAAACAATTAGAAAACTAGTTGTTAATTCAAACATAACTCTAATAATGAAATACTAATTAAAGAAGGACTCATTAAAATACTTTACTCTCACGACTTCCTTAATCTTTCCTATAGCCACTTGGATTGCTAATCATCTCTGCTCCCCTTTGTTCTCTGCGTGCATATGTGCGACCAAAGAATTGATCGCTATCATTTTCATAACCCAGAACTGCAACCTTTCATCCTTTCCAGTGTAGAGGCGAGCACTTCATTTCCAGTGTAGAGGCGAGCACTTAAGAGCACCAGGCGAGGTGCTGAACATGGGTAGCGCCTTAGTATTCTCAAGACACAGTGATATGCCTCAGGCACAAATAAAGTGCAAGAAGCGCAAAGTCGCATAAGTGCACGCCTGGGCTGGGAAAGGCTTCTCAACTTATTTTTCTTTTTTTGCAATATAAGATTAGGCCCTACTTTAAATAAATCCATATTCATAATAAGATTTAGCCCATCCAAATAATAGAGCAAAACAACATAAACCCTTCCCGATCGGTGTATTAAAGAGTTTACTGAAACTATAGTAATAAAAAGTTCTCTGCTGCATTCGACTCACTCCCCGCGTAAATGGTAACTTCCTCCTCATTATGTTTCTTCTTTCCGTTTCCATCTTCTAGTTCTATTCAATTCTTCATTCTTTCTTATCTTCTATATTTTTCCCTTACTGTATGGTCTTTTTCTTCTTGCATTATTTCTATCTTTTCATTTAAAATTTGATATCTTTATTTCATTTTCTCTGCCATTTTCTTCTTCTGTCTTATATTTTCTCCTAACAAGTTCTCTTTTTCTAACATGTTTTATATTTTAAGAACATATATATTCATTTTTCTCTAGTTTTATTTATTTATTTATATGGAGGGTGAAACTTCAATTGCTGCCACGAAAGCTGAAAGTAATACTGCTAATAGAATTTGGTCTCTTCTTTCAATAATGAATGATTCTTGAGAGTTGTAACTTGAGAATTAAGCTAAAATATAGCTGAATTTAAGTTATAATTTTAATGATGAGTATGACTTTTTTTAATGCATTTAGTTCAATATGATATTGAATATATCATATCTGGTAAATCTAGAACAGTATAATTAATTTCCAAGCAGTGCGCTTGTCATGAGTCACGCGAGCGCTTTTTTGCGCTGTTAAGTGCGTGAGACAGAGACCTTGTCCAAGGGCGTGAACGGGATTGACCACAAGTAAACGATGATGTTCCTGGAGCTATTTTAGTTGACGAGTAATAGATGAACTGAATTAGAGGCTTAATAGATAATTATCGATCCCCGACCTAGTCAAGAGATTTCAAGATTAATTAACCAAAAAGCTGTTTATTAAAGTAGCTGGGATCCCCTTAAATAGATAAAGGGTTTCCTAAAACAAAATAGGAACAGCCTTGCTATTCTATTACAACTAAGATAAAGGGTTTCCTAAAACAAAATAGGAAACTAAGTTCCTAAAACAAAATAGGAAACTAAGATAAAGGAATACTAATTAAAGTAGGACTAATACTAATATTAATATGACTCTAATTGCTTTCTTGTTTCTTTTCTCTTCTTTTTCTCTTAGCCACGTTGGTCATTAATCTTCTCTGCCCCACACTGCTTCCTTCGTTCATATGTACGGCCATAGAATTGGTCCGTAACATGCGCATTGCGCTTCAAGCAATATGACTACTCTAGCGCCTTAACTTCTTAAGTGTGCCTCACGGCTTTGACTACCTTTGAGCCTTTCACAAATGCAAAGAATATTCAACTAAAGAAAAATGTAGGTTTCAATTAGGTTAGGTGCTGTTTGTATTGCCAATCAGCCATCTTAGTATGTTATTTGTTTGATATAATGAATTTGACCAATTATCATTTTGTAGTGTAAAGAAGTTAGCACCCAGTGAGTTTGACCTCTTTTACTGTTGTTTTAATATATGTAACAGGAAAAGTTATATCAGTGGATCTTGAGGCAACAAGATGGAGGATCAAGAGTGATGATGGTTGACATACTAAACTACCTTCAGGTATCTATGAATGGTTTTGCACTGGGCTAGTCAACTGATTTGGTTTTTATATTTGTTAAAAATCCATGTTTGTCGAAGAACTCACATTTACGTGTGTATGGCAGCCATGCAAGGAATGGCATTAGCGAGCCGCCTTGTTGCCTTGGACACTAGTATCCGGATGCAATATATGAATTTACATTATATTTTAAATACTCCCTCCGTCCCTAATAACTTTGCCAAGTTTGACCGGCACGGGGATTAATAAACTAAAAATTGTGTGGTTGAGGTTTGTGCAGAGGAGAGAGAATTAACTGGAACCACAAATTCTTTACTTAAATGGGAAAGTGGCAAAGTTAATGGGACATCCAGAAAAGGAAAGTTGACAAAGTTATAAGGGACGAAGGGAGTATAATATTAAAAATAGTGCATGGAGTATGATCATATTAGTTCAAATAAGAGCTTAATATCTATTTCCAATCAATCAAACTGCAAGACTTTCTGCAAAATGCAGCGATGTGACTCATGTGATTGCTATATAAAAAACGAATAAAAAAAAGTTAGCTATAGAGAAGGATAAAAAATGAAATTGAAGAAAAGATAAATTCTGAAGAAAAGGTAAGTGTGGTGTACATCAGTTTACCTTTTGTTTTTTCCTCTTTACCCGTTTGGGTTTTTCTTTTTTCAAATCTAATTATGCGATTTAAAATATGAGAAAATGGGTTGGGTTGCTGGATCAAATGGACGTGGGAGAAAATCACGTCTGGACTTGCTATGAATATCTTGTAGAGGCCTAGGTGATGTCACTCAATGTTTGACCCTCTCTTCAGGCAAGGCAACCATATAGACTTTCACTGTCGGGACGCCTAATTGCCGCCTAGCCGATGCCTGGATACACCCTTGCACACATATACTGATATACACGTCTTCTTATGAGAACACCTCTAATCATAAGCATATCTTTTGGAATGAGAACTTTTTATCTCCACATTTTATTTTTATAATCCTTTGTTAATATCCACAAGGTGATATTTTTGTAACTATATTAGAAAATTTGCAAAAAGTCCACATTTGAGTTTAGTTCAAATACAAAAAAGACACTTTATGAGTGTTAGACATTAATTAGAAACATTAGAGGTGAAGATTAAAATTTTCATGATAAGTTATGTTTATAATTAAGGCTTGAATACATTTTTAGTCCCTGTAAATATGACAAACTTTGTTTTTAGTCCCTGTAAATATGACAAACTTTGTTTTTAGTCCCTGTAAATATGACAAACTTTGTTTTTTTTTGTTTTTCATCCCTGTAATATGTACTATTTTGTTTTTAGTTCATCTCTAATTCTGAAGCCGCTCTACTTACAAAAAAAGTTATTGTTAGTTGCATAAATCTACTAGAAATATTCAAATTTGTCCTTTTATAAATTTATTGAGGCTAATATAAGAGTTAAAACAATGTAAAACTAAGTATTCACATTTTCAAAATTATATACTTCCTCCGTTTTTTTTTAGTTGCAAAATTCTTATTTTCACGCTTGCCAATGCATAACTTTGACCGTAATTATATTAATTCTCTATTAGTAAAAAAATCAAAAATTAAATTTTGAAACTTTTTAATGAGATGAATTCAACAATATTTTTCAAAAAAATAATAATTCACACACATAAATAAAATGTAGTCAAAGTAGAGTGTATGAATAGTGTGTAAATTTCAATGTTGCATCTATTATGATACGGAGGATAGTATTAAAGACCTAAAAAATAAAATTAAATACTTTTTGAATGACATGACAAAGAATTAGAGGAAATCTATTATTCGGGGTTATTTTGTGGTCAATCAGAGGTTGTTATTATCGGTGATGGACTAAAAAGAAAATCAACCTAAATTGCAGGGATGAAAAACAACAAAATAATTTTGCAGGATGTAAAACAAAATGTACTATATTTGCAGGGACGAAAAATAACAAAATAATTTTGCAGGATGTAAAACAAAACTGGAGGGACTAAAAACATATTTAAACCTATAATAAAGGATGTCTGCCATCTGTCATAGTTTAATGACATTTTTATTGTGGATTTATGTATTATGATGACAGCATGAACTGGACTGCTATGTAGAGGGGGACCAGGCACCACCTCCCCAAAATCATAACAGTTCCTATCCAACAGCTTTTCCAGGTTCTGTTGTCCAAGCCTCTTCCGGTTCAAATGGTGTTTCGGCAGTAATACATGGTGTTCGTTCAGACCATCTTGATCAACAGCCAAAGAATCATTATTTCTCAAATGCTCTGTCAAGCCCTGTAGGCCGAAGCCTTCAAAACTATCAGATTTCTCAGGGAAGCTACTTTACAAGCAGTGCTCAGCCTGCAAACAGCATTAAAAACGTGGGAGCGGCTGAACCCAACTTCCAACAACAAACAACTAGGGACTCTGGTAGCTACAACTCTAATGATGCTTCCTCCATGGATATGCATGCAGACAGTCCTAGTCACGAATCTACTTACTGAGAACTGTAAGAGCCATTCCTGGACATTGAAGGGGAGAAATTTTATCCATTTCACTGCAACACTTGTCATTGTTTGATGCCTCACCCCAGTGACTTCAAAAAAGATGTATTACAGGTTCTTAAAAGGTCTGCAAAAAAATGGTCAGCTCCAAACCTATAATGTCACTCCGTTGAACTAATTATAATATATTTGCTCCTTTTTTTCATGCATGTAAATTGTATTTAAAGTGATGGATGTGTTAGATGGTCTTACCTGTTCATTCTGGCTGTAATGTTAATACATGTTTCTTGTCCTCTCCAAATTCAAACTGCCATTGAAATGGGGGGTATTTAAACATGTCCACAAGGTGTCAGTTTCCCCCATTTTTGCTGCAACACTTCACACTTGCTCCATTTTTTTTCCTGCAATTGCTAGTCTGGATATTTTTCCTGAAAGCAGCCCGTTTTTGAACAAAACTGAAGCCTTTCCAAATTCCAATGTACAAACAAAAGGCATAGTCTAAGTTGATCTCAGACGAGCACTTTACATTCATGAGCTCATAGACAAATGTGCATTTGAGGCCGAGAAAGTCGATGTTTCCTAATGTTGACCTCATCTGACGGATGGCAAAGGCCAGAGCGAAGAGATGTATTGTTTTTCCGGGTCATATGTAATTGCATGATGAAGTAATCAAAGGTTTGAAGGTAATTCTTATTATGCTAATGCATTTACCTTTTCCAAGATCAACGGGACACATCCGAGTCAGGTTTAGAGGTGAGGCTGGTGAGCCACATTAGGTTAATACGTTTTGCTTTGCAAGGCCAGATACTTCTAAATGCCATGAGTCGTGGTAACGGCGTAAGGTCAAGCCTGCCTTTAAAGCTTAGGCGAGAATAGGTGAAGTGTAAGGTCAAGCCTGCCTTTAAAGCTTAGGCGAGAATAGGTGAATTCGGTGTGAAAAGGTGCTTTGGATTATTATTGATAACTACTACTCTCTCCTTTCCAGAAGTTCTCATTTCAGTGGCGATAAAGTTAATTGTTCCTAGTCAATATTCAATAATAAGATATTTTAGAAAATAAAAATTTACATATTTTTTTTGGCTTTATAAATGTTATATAAAGTCATGAAAAATAATTCAATTTTGATAAAAGTTGAATATATAAAGTAAAGGATTGAGAACAATTTAATTTGATCAAATGAATAGTGATTGGGAGCTTCACTTTGGGATTGAAATAATATTTTATAGTGACGTATGAAGAAAAAAGAATAAATGTCCAACAATGTTTAAAAGACTGGTCTAACTTTTACTTTAATCGATATATATAATATTTGAAAGTATAAAGTGCAAATATAAAATGATATGTTGTTGCTTTTACTACTTTATATTAGATGTCAATATGTCATATATCACATGTTAATAAAAGTGTTTGTTGAGGTTTATTCCTTCAACTCCAAAGGCCCAACATCTTCCTTAGAGTTTCGTAGGATATGTTTAGTGACCGAGTGTACTCAGTGAGACAAGCAAATGGTAAGTAGAAGTGAAAGACAACAAGTGAGCTTAGTTCTTATTGAATGGTAATAATGAACAATTACAACACACCCTACTGGACCGAGCTGATCATCCAGACAAGCTTAGAATTTAGTATAAGTTTAACCCCTAACTATGAAATAAATGCGGCTATTTTTACTACCAAAGGGCAGGTGGTAGTGATGACGTGGAGGTTCATGAGTAGCTAGCTTCCCAACCACCAAATCTAGTGCATTAAATGCGGTTCCCATCAATATCTTGGATTCCCGCCAATTGTCCAGGACGATCATCTCCAGACTCCGTAGTTCTAGATCCCAACAAGCATAAGGCCTAGGATGCTGCTCGGGCCGAGCTGAGTGTCCCCGTTGATGCCTATCAATTGATAACCCTAGCCCTAACTGGCCAAGGTGATGCAGACGAGCTTCATCATACCAAGACGTGTGTCGTGCACCTTCCGTGGGCCGTTACCTGGCCCCTTCCTTCTTACGCGGTATTGGGCCGATCCTGTGTTGGGCCAATTACCCCAACACAAGCCCTCCCACTTCTGATGTTCCAAGCGTGCGTGGGACATAAGGATGTATATATGCCCCCTCCAAGCCAAGCCTCCACAACGTTTCTGATGTGACCGTCGTGTAGGCTGCTCCCGAATTCCCAGGTGACGATTACAGAGGCCGGTTCAACTTCCAAGGTAACTTCACCTTAGGCAGCAGCGCCTCGGCTTCCTCGGTTCGGTAGAATGCAAATGAGGCCGCCGTACCTGATGGAGATGCCCCTGCCGGCGAAGGCGCCCAAGGATATGCCGCCGAGCCTCTGGTAGAATATTATGACTCTGGCAACGAGGTCTACTCTGGAGATCATCTGGAAGTTTTTGATAGGGGCAACCCTTGTGATATTTAATGTCATGTGGTGCCGCTGTGGAATGCCCACGGTTGCGAGCAGTTCTTCTCTGATTAGTCGTTGCGTGAACTTCCATTGTATCTGCCACCGCCCATCGTTTAAAGCCCGTGCTGTAATGCCCCTCTCAGGGTTAAAGGAAACATTACACTAACTTACTACTTTTAAAAATAAACTGTAATATAACGGCCGTTTGTTTCAAGAAATAACCCCGATAAAATCTCAAATGTAACAAAAATATAACTACAAATAAAAACTTAATAAAACCTAGTTATCACCAACAAATGTCATAACCACCTGGATCCAGGAATTTATTCAAACTTCAAATCCTTAATAAAATAAAGTAATAATAATAATCTCTTTATTATACTAACTGAAATACTGAAACAAAATAATAACTAGCTAGAAGCCGCCAAGGTCGTTCCCGTTAACTCATCGGCACACGTTCCACTCCCTCATCATCTTCCTAGGCCTTGGCCTTACCCTTAGTATCTGTACATGCGAAGAAAGAAAACTGATAAGCTTTACGCGTAGTAAGTCACTATGGATCCACAAAAATATCGGAGAAGTCTATGCTAATTTATCAATAGATAAATTTAAGCTATAAGCATGCACTGAACAAGTAGCTAACAAATAACTTCTCAAATAGATTCTGAAAGAGATCTCAAAAGAAAATAAATACTTTCTGAAATAATTTCTCAAAACTGCTGGAGAGATCTCAAAATTTCTTTCTCAAAACATTTCTGTAAAAACTTTCTGAAAGAGATCTCATAAACTTTTTGTAAAACTTTCTGAAAGAGATCTCATAAACTTTCTGTAAAACTCTTTGTAGCTTATTTTAATTGTGGGTCCGTGATATGTACTCAAAGGCGCCAATCCGACAGCTCAGGGGAGCGACCCATTAAACATATCTGACTATCTAAAACTGTAAACTGATAATCTGAGGGAACTTGTTCCCGAGTAAATATCACTTAATCTTTCACTTTAAATATTAGTTCTTTTTATGATGACGTTTGATTAAAAACATCAATAAATCTGAAAATAAAAGTACTGACAAAATCTTGACTATGCCAGATAATAAATGTAACTTAATACATAACACAAAAATAACTTAGCAAATAATTCAACAGGTTCACATAATAGCACATAGACTAAAATCATCTATTAAAAATCAATCAGACTTCTTTCTTTTATTTGGTTGAACAAACATGTACATGTGGTAGTGAACTTACCTGTTAACAGCTGAACTCAAAATAATCAATTAAGTGTGGCACCTTGATAATGTCTTCTAGAGTTCCAGTAAGTTTTTCTTTGAAAATCTTTCATTTACGATATAATAATACCATGAGAACTCGTCAAACTTTTTTTTTAATTAAACTATGTATTCGAAACTTTGTGCTTTCACTAGAGTGAAACGATCACAATAATAATTACATTATCTTTAGCTATTACAAACTAATTTAAAGCTAGTATGAAAGAGCTACATTTTTTTTGGATCATCAAACAGGCCTCTATTCATATCAAAAGATTCAGGATCATTACATCAAACAAAAGGAAAATAAAACTGACCCCAACTGAAACTCCAACAACTACGACTGTAACCCTATGATGAGACTTTGAGATGGTCACCCCTGAAAGAGCAACACGAATCGCAAGCCAAACCTGTTCTCATAGATCCAACCATACCCAATGACATAAACAGAGGCTAAAAACTCAAACAAATTGTCAAAACCAATAACAAAGATGAACACAAGAAAACAAATGACAAACAGAAAAAAAAAATTGTAGGAAAACTTTCACGGACTCTAGCACCTCGTACAAGCCATGATGGTAGTTCAGGCGGAGGTCGGACCGTCGCTCGATTGATACCCTCTTTCAGTGGTGTACCCGCCGCCGTATGACCCAAATTCATGCCATCAAATGGAGCGTTCAGCCTTTCCACGCTAATCATGTCCCGATCATCCCTACGTCTCTCTCGCTTCTTCCACCATCTTCTCGCTGCCACGATCATCCATCCCGAGCTACGTCCAAACCACGGAAATCCGGCGCAGTGTGCGTCGATTGAAAGAGCTAGATAGTTTAGGTATAATTAAATACATAGTAAAAAAACTTATCCAAACGGATCGTTCCCAGTTTGTGCTAAACAAATTTATGGCAAGTATATATCCTGCTGTAGCATTTTATCAAAACAAAGAAAGGGATATATATAATTATAAAACTAATCCACGTTACATTAAAAAGATTCTGAATTTTGATTAACAAAAAGCCACATTCAAAGTTGAACTAAAATTCTTAAGTAGGAAGCAACCCACTCGCTCAAGAGCCTCGAAGGAGCTGCTGTTTATTACCCAAACCAAAGGAAAAGGGTTTTCCAGATTCTTTAAACAAAAGATTAGTCTCAAAACCAATTGTGTTTGGTGCACGGTTTAACGAAAACTTCAAAATTTTCCACTTTCTAGAATTAAATTCTACCAAGACAAGAGTATAAAATCCTAAAAAAAAAAACAGAGTGGATTAACTTGATGGGGCAGGGGTATAAAATTCTGATATCCTCGTGATGGTTCTAAAAACGAAATCAAGCTTTCCTTTTTGTTTTAACTAACTCAAGAAAGAATTATAATCAGATGGAAGGAATTCAACTTACTTGATTGACATAATCTGATTAATGCTTTGGTCTAAAATTGAAGAATTATAGACAACATTTTGTTCGGCCGAGAGAGAAGAATGTGAGGGGTGCGGCTACTGTTGGTGGGAGAAAAAGAAATTGCGTGTGTCTTGATACTCCTTATTAGGGTTTTTAACTAAAATATTGATTCGGGCCAAGATAACTTATTTGCGTGTCTTAGTCTGCTAAAAAAAATGTTTCTAACACCACTAAAATATATTTTCGTTTGAAATAAATTGATTAAATTTTAGGACATTATTTACTTATTTATTTGAAATTCTTGGAGCTTACCGGTCAACAT